AGAAGAAGGGATGGCAGTAGAGCATGGCCTGAAAAGGAAAGAGATGGCCAGGATCCCACTGAAAATTTTCTGTAAGCAGTGGGAAGTCATGGAAAGATTTTAAAAGGGGCATGCATTCACATTGTGCTTTAGAAAAACAGCTGTTGGAAGTATCGTTGCAGATATGATTGGAAGGAGCAACACATGGCGACTGGGAGACCAGATGGTGGACACACCTGGTTGTTGGGAGGCTGAGATGGTCCTGACCAGAGGAGCTAGTCTCTCTCACTTCTGAGCTGTTTCTTTACACTCGGTGATTGGTACCTGTCATGACTGGTACCTAGACAGGCTTCTTCACCTCTCTTGACTCAAGTGGCCTAGCAGGTCCTCAGGTGTGCAGTCAGCACACAAAACAGCAGAACATTGCTTTGATTGGTTGTAACATGGGCAAGTAGGAAAGAAGGGAGCAGACAGCTCAGAAACTGAAAATTGAACTGGGAAGAAGTTGGCAGGAAGGATGAGTTAGAAGAGAGGCATTGTAGAGAGCTGTGACACTGGGTGCCTAGGGCAAAAGGTCAGGAGATTCTGGGCATGACAGCTAACTAGATTTTAGTACTCCCATCTGGGAATGAAACGTGAACTTGAACCAACAAATCGGCCCTCAGCCTAGAGAGAGCACCTCTTTTGCGCTTTCTATCAGTGGAAGCTGATAGAATAGAGCAGCTCACATTGCTCCATAAGAAAGCTGTGTGTTGTACTCTGCCTCTCAGATTCCCGGGGTGATGTGGGCACCCTGAGAGGCTAGTTGAGATGACGTGGAGGAGGGTGATGGTAGGTCCAGCAACATGCACAGGCCGATAGCAACAAGAGTCCCTGCTGGGTTTCTAACTGGCCAGAGAATGTTTCAATAAAAGAGGCATAGCTTTGAGCCAAACATTTTTTCTTTCATTCATTTATTCAATGAACTATTCAATCCAGTTTTGCATAGGGCAAATCTGCAAAAGGTCTCTTTTAAGTGTTGGAAAGCAAAGATGTCACTTTGAGGAAGAAAGTGTCCTGATGCAAGCCATGGCACATTCAATCACTTCATATGTGTGGGGAATCTGGGCAATGAATAAGGAAGACCAGAGAAGAATTAATGTATTTGAATTATGGTGTTGGTGAAGAGTATACCATGGACTGTCAAAAGAATGAAGAGATGTGTCTTGGAAGAAGTACAGCCAGAATGCTCCTTAGGAATAAGTCAGGATGGCAAGACTTTGTCTCACGTATTTTGGGTATGTTATCAGAAGGGACCAGTCACTGGAGAAGGACATCATGCTTGGTGGAGGGTCAGTGTGAAAGAGGAAGACCTTCAATGAGATGGATTGGCACAGGGACTGTAACAGTGAGCTCAAATACAGCACGATTGTGAGAGTGGTACAGGACTTGGGGCTTAGTGTTTTCATTCTTTTGCACTTGGGGTCTCTCTGCATCTGGACTGACTTGATGGCACCTAACAACAGATGCCTGTTGAAAGTATCATCTATTCATTGATAGAAGTTGGAGGGAGCTGATAGCAAGGAGGGAAGGGTTCTGCTTTAGTGGCTGTGCTGTCAGTTTCCCGTGTTCCATGTACAGACACAGCAGCATGTCTCAGGAAGTGGGCTGAGGCTGTGGCTACGTATCTTAGAGGACATGCTCATCACTATGTGTTTCAGTTGCCCTTCCTTGAATGGCAGGCCTCCCAACTTTTGCTTATCCTGAAGTTTCTTCTTCCACTGTTTTTATGTGTGGCCTCCTTAATTCATGTTCTCACTGCTGTGGTAAATTCAAACTTTTTGTTGGATGTCTTCATCCAGAGCCTAGAACCACCTGTCTGGGAGTACATGGAAGTGATAGCTGCTTCTTGACCATCTACTCTTAATCTTGTGACAGACCTGCCCGAGGCCTGCATATGTCCTTTCTGTGGCTGTTCTAAATCTTACCTCTTCACAATCTTTCCTTTACCATCCTGGTCTCATGCACAAACTGTAACCCACAGCTCATATCCTGTGGCAGACTGCAGTGCACTTTAGCCATTGAATGCAAATAACTCTCAATCAAAGAAGAAGAGAAATTAAAGTTTTCAATGTGAATCTTTTCAGGTTGGCCTTACAAGGCTCCACGACTCTTAGTTACTTATTGCCCTTGGCATGCTGGTATTTTATGTGGGCAGGGTGAAACTGGCTGTGGTCGGGGTGAGACTTTAAGCTTTTGATTTGTTCCCTTATTTTGGAAGAGTTAAAAAGAAGTTGCATCTTCTGGTGTAATTGTAGTATTAGTATTAATTTTTCTCACATATGCATAAGGCAGAATGAAAAGTGCTCAATCACTTTTACTAGATCTGTATTTTTTCAGAGAACATGTCTTTAAAAGGCGAGTTTCAATGACTCGACACTTGGTATGCAAACAACTACAAATATAAGAATCAGCACAAAGCCAATTCCTATGAGGAGGAGGTGAACTGTATCCCAAATTTATACATTCTCCAAACTGCTGTACCATTCCATCTTTGACACTGGTCCACTCTCTCTCCCCTCAGCACTCTCCCCTCACCTGTTTGCGTTCGACAATTCACTACAACATCTCCCAGAACTCAAAACTATGCTGAAGTGGTTTATTAAGGAACAGGGTGCAACTCTCAGATCAGGATCAAAAGGCTACAACTCAGGATCAGGAAACATGTAGACCAAGTTTTCCTTCTTCAGTGCAGGATGGCACTCTGAGCTCGTCACAGCCTTGCAGGCTTCCTCTCCACCTCCTCAGGACAGGCACCTCTCCCTGTCTTTAGTGTTACAGCCCTTGATGCTTGTTACAGCTCTTCTCAGACGTTCCTTGCCTCCTCCCTCTCTCTCTGCTTCTTCCTTATTCTTTTCTTTCTTCCTTCTGCTTCTCTTCCTGCTTGTTTCTACCTCAGAAACCTCTGTGGAGCTGGCTGCTTATATCTACAAACTCCTCGTCAATTTCAAGGCATGGCCCCACCAAGGCCACAAACTGATCAGTCCCCTTTTGGTAGACCACAAACACTTCATTTGCATAGCAGGCTACAGATACGTCATTCTCATGGTCTATAATCACTTCATTTGCATAGTCTATTGACTAATCCTAGCAAGGTGCCAGTCATAGGGTAGGCTACAGTTCAGGGCCAGGCAGAAATTATCAAACTATCCCAGAAAGTGTCAGTCAACCTGGGCAAAAGTAACAAATCCTCTGGAATAGGAAACTAGGTCAAAGGTAACTCCTTAGGGTTTAGGGGGAAAATCTCTCAAACTTTTTCTAAAGAACTAAGGCAAAAGGCCACATAAAGGAATTCATTTCACCACATTTGGCTTTGTTTTTTCCCCTTTAATTATTTTTTAAATAACAGCCTTATTGAGATATAATTTATATACTACGAAATTCATTCTTTCAAAGTGTGTAATTCAGTGAGTTTTATGAATAGTGCTTCCATGAACATTCATGCACAGATGTTTATGTGAACATATGTTATCAGTTCTGTAGAGCATATACATAGAATAGAATTGTTGGGTCACATGGTAACCATGTTTAACTTTTTGAGGAATTGCCAAAATGTTTTCCAGAGTGTCTGCACTATTTTACAATCCCACCAGCAATGTATTGAGGGGTTCTAATTTTTTATATCCTTGCCATACTTCTTGTTGTCTTTTTTATTTTGGTTCTTATTTAAATTTAAAAAACATTTTCTCATTTATGCACATGGTAAAACACACACACAGACTTAGAATGGAAAGCCAACAGTCTTCTGACCTGCTTCACCCCTTCTTATTCCAAATCCCTTTCTCACAGCAAACTACTTTCTGTTTTTAATTCTTCCAATGGTTACCATTATAATTCGAAAGATTTCTCGATTAGCTTACTATTATTTTTCTACTTTTCATTACTTTCAAACACATGTAAAAGCAGAGTAACATAGACCACATGTTTCCATCCACAGCCACAGTAACCATCACCACACAACCACTCTTACAGACTCTTGTTTTCTTAAATCACCTTCAGATGCTGTCTGTTGATTCCCTGTTGAAAATGAGGGTGTTTATACTACCCCTTTCAAATTTTTTACAGTAAATTATTTTTAGTTTTTCTATTACCCTTGCAGTTTTAAACAAATACTTAAGTCTGGTTCTTAGACAGTATTGCTTAATTAATCTCCTGTAAACTGAGGATGTTAGTGTCTTAACTCTCCTTCTTTATTTCAGCTTTTACCTCCCAACCATTTTTAGCCATACTTTTTATATTGTCAAGTTCATTGCATTTATAGTCTGTTGTATAATCCGATTGCCAGTGACCATATAGGACAGGATAGGGTTTCCAAGGTTGTAAATCTTCACAGAAGCAGACTACCACAGCTTTCCCTACAAATTGGTTGGTGGGTTCAAACAGCTGACCTTTTGGTTAGCAGCCTAGTGCTTTAGCCACTCCACTACCAGGAGTCCATAACCTTAATTAGTCTTTTATGCTTTGTCTTTTGATCAGTTCTAAGACTTGAGACAATCAACACATTTGATGTTACTAAATAATGACTTTAAATAGGGCTTAGTGGAGAGCCACATAATGTACTAGAATTACATTGGTTTTCTACAAACTCAGTATAATAACTCTTGTCCCATTGCAAGAACAGTGTCTAGATACCCAATTGACAACTTTTGGATTCAGAAATATATAGTAGTTGGTAGGACTCGTGGACCCATTCTGAGTTCTCTTACCATTTATGTCACATCTGGCCTTATTATTTCATAATTTCATGTATTATATCCCTAATTAGAGAGGAAGCTTCTTGAGAGGAGCCCACACCAACTACAGTGTCAGTAAATTAAATTGATTTCCCCAAAAGTTACAAACCATAACTTCATTTGTCAAGTAGATATAGCCACTGCCGTTAAAGTGATGTCACACCATCAGAATTCTACAAATATTTTATTTTATGATGAGTTATAAATATATAAATATTTTTTAAAATAAAGCTGTTAAAAACTCATAAATTAAAATGTTAGACTTTCACACTTTGAATATTTCTCCTTCATGATCGTATTCAGCCTTTCCAAGAAGTCTTTCAATGTACTCTTCCTGACTTCATTCACAGGACAGTAGGTCTACAAAAGAAACATCTCATTAGCTTACACTGATAAAGCAATTCAGTCTTAGTGTCATGACTATCTACTTGAGTCAAGCCTACTCTAGTGCTTGCTACCTGGACAGTTACCACACTGGGGCCTCCTGTCTGGCTTATAGGGAGTCTAACTGTGCCCCTAACAGCTCTGGTGGCATAGTACCTAAGGCACTTGACTGCTAACCAGAAGGCTGGCAGTTCAAACCCACCAGCCACTCTTTAGAAGGAAGATGGGGCAATCTACTTCCGTAGTGATACTGCCTTGGAAACCCAAGGAGGGGTCCCTATGAGTCAAAATCAACTTGATGGCAGTGAGTTTGGGTTGGTTTTTTTTTTTTTTTTTTTTGGGAACTGTGCCCCTAGGCCAGCAGGATTTGCATGTTTTCAGGTACTCACTTACACTCCTGGAAATGGTTACCATACCACCACTAACCATCTGCCATCAGGGGGTGCCATAGTCTCTGGAGCGATGTGTCACAGCTAGGTGCTGCTCAGGGGTAGTAACATGAAGGTGTAGGTTCAGACCCACCCATTACCGTACTGTGCCTTTTGCGTGGCCACTTGGACTGCTGAGAGGGAGAGATTCAGTCATCGTGCCCTCCTGCCCAGTAGACACTACAGCATGGCAGCACTTAAGGTGGAAAGGCTTCCAGGGACCTACCACTATGACACATTTGCAGTTTGAATCTTAGAGTCTACTATTTATTGCTTGGGACCAACTACTTAATTTATAAAAACTTCAGTTTACTCCTTTGTAAAATAAGGATAACAATACCTACTTCATAAGATAAGAGGATTAAAAGAATATGTGTTACTATGTTTGTTTTATAAATAAGGCAACAGACCCAGAAGGGTTTAAAAAAGTCTGCTCCTGCCTAAGGCAACTTCCTCCACTTGGTGTTAAGTAGCACCTTCTCTTTCCCAAAAGGACTTCTGTCCTGTACTTATTCCTCCTGTATCCTACACCATCAGTTCTCCCCTTGGTCAGTCGTTCCCATTCGTAGATTAATATGCTGAAAGAACTTGAGAGAAATTTCCCTCACTCCATACTTGTCCTTTAGTTATTGTTTCATTTCTTTGAAACCTTACAGCAAAACTTTTTGAAAGAGTTTTCTGTATTAATTGTCACTTCTTTTTTCACCCTTGTCCCATTCTCTGTTGAGCCCACTTCAGTCAGACTTCCATCCCTGCTTCTCCACTGAGGCCATTTGTGTCATCATCAGTGGCCCTTCATCTTGCAAGATCTAATAGCCATCTTCAGTCTACATCTTACCTGACCTTTCAGTACATTGGGCAGTTTATCACACCCTCCTTAACAGCTGGCTTCTGAAACACCACACACCGTTGGATGGCCTCCTACTTTATTGCTCCTTCTTCTCAGTCTACTGCATCATCTTATTTCTGACCTCTGTATGTTAGAATGCCGCAGTGATCAGTCCTTGAGTCCATTCCTTTGTCTATTTCATTTGGTCTTATGACGTATATTATAGCATTTGAGAAATCTCCATTTTATATCACAAGTTCTGACTTCTTCCCTATACTCCGACTTGTTCATCCATCTTCCAAACATCTCTATTTAGATATCCAGTTGTTGTTGTTGTGTGCCGTCGAGTCGGCCCCGACTCCTAGCGACCCCTCCTTGGGTTTCCGAGGCAGTATCACTACGGAAGTAGGATTGCCCAACCTTCCTTCCGAGGAGTGGCTGCTGGGTTTGAACCGCCAGCCTTCTGGTTAGCAGTCAAGTGCTTTAGCCACTATGCTACCAGGGCTCCCTAGATATCCAGTAGGCATCTCAAACTTATATGTACAAAATTGAACTTCTGATCTTCCACTCAGCCTCTAGCCGTGCATCACCTCCAGTCTTCCAAAGGGGTTCAGGCCAAGAACCAAGAGGTCACCTTTTACACCTCTCTTTCCTCACTCCTCTCAGCAAGTCCATCTGGCTCTACTTTTAGTTATAAGCCAAATCTAACCACCTCCATTGCCCTCACCCTTAGCCAAGCCACTGTCATCTCTAGCCTGGGTTACTGCAGTGGCCACATCAATGGGTAATTTTCTTCTAAACCCTTTTCAATTTGTTTACTCACAGAGTGATCATTTTAAATTACATAAATCAGATTGTAGTCTCTGTCCTACTTAAAGCCCTTCAGGATCTTCCTACTATACTTGGGGCAAAATCTGAAGACTGTGAGATCCAGCCTGCTGCTAAACTCCGTCTCCTTGCTCTGATCCAGTCACACTGGCCTTCGTACTGATCTCGGAACACATGAAGCTCAATTACATCTTATGATCTTTACATGACTATTCCTTCTGTCTGGAATGTTCTTTCTCCAGTTGGTCATATGGTCTGCTCCCTCCCTTAATTCAGATACATTCTCAGATGATGCCACTAACTCCTAAATCAACCACCTCCCCCATGACCACTATGTCCTTTATTCTTATCTTTTTCTTCATAGCACTTATCACTACTGGACATCATATTACATGCTTGTCTGTTTCTCTCCCTCACTCCTCCACTAGAACATTCCATGATAGCAGGGACTCTGCTTGTTTGTCTTATTCCCAGGTGCATAGAAGACCACCTGGCACTTAGTAGAGCCTCAGCTAATATTTTTTTAATGAGTGAATAAATAGATTGATTAATCTAGGGCAAGGAAACTAATAAGGGAGAGCAGTTAGAAGTGAGGTTGTTGAGAATCAGAAGCCAATCCGCCGGGGTAATGTAGCTTACCACATTTGTCATGCTGCTGATGCTTCTGTTGAGTCCTCTCAGGTGTTTGGTCAAGTGCCTATTGTGTGTGTGGACTCGTGAAAGCACAGTCGCAGCCCTGCAGAAGATTTCATCCTTGGTTGCGTTCTAGAAAGAGAAATACCACAAATAGCCATGTTTTGAACTCTGTTTTGAACATGGGAGAGATTTTTCCTTCTGATTTCTTCTTTCCAGGACGGCAGTTGGAGAAGGTGAGTTTGCTCAACTATGGATGAGGTATTCACGTATTCCAGCCTCATGAAAGAAGGCAGCTGTCCTAGTTATAAACCTCTGTGAGTAGCCTCTCTCGATTACCTGCACATACAGCAGCTGTCTCCTCAGAACCTCCCCATTTATTTTCCCTTAGTGGGTTTTGCTGAAAGGGACTTCAGTTACCTTACACTTAATTTTGAACACAGAAGTGAAAGTTCTTTCTCTCCTTTACTAGTGAGAAATTCAAGATAAACCAGGAGTGTGTTTGTCTAGGATTTGAGAGCAGAGCAGATTGAGAATGGCAGGGGTATGCAGCACATTCTCGATAATGGCCGAGCACTGGGCCAAGTGTTTTGCCTGCATGTCTCCTTCAGACCTGCTGATAGCCATTTACAGTAGGATTTTTTTATGCCTTATTTTACAAATGAAGAAACTGAGGTGCAAACTTCAGGTGCCTGAATAAAATCACTGAAATAGATAAGTTGGGATTCAAATGCCAGACCATCTGCCTCCACAGCCCATGTCTGTCTCTTTCCTGTTCTTCATGTGGAAGGTGCTCACGTGAGCCCTTAGTCTGATTCTGTTCTCTGCTGTGCCTGTAAGTTTTAAAGTCCAGATTTCCCTGAAATCACTCGTGCTTGTTGAATTAATGAATGTTGTCCTCTGGCCTGGGCATGACTGCTTTGGCAGCACTCACTCTCCAGTTAGCCCTTCATGGGAGATCAATGCCTGTAGAAGTTCATGGTCCATTGAGAAGAGAAGACATTTCCCTACAAAGCTAGAGGTGAGTGCCAGATCAGGGCAAGGTGCTCTGGAGTCTGGCCTGTAGAGAAGGGGGCTGGTTTCTAGGAGAGGGAGCCATTGAGCTGGATGGACCTTGGACAGGGCTTCTGTAAGGGGTCATTGGCCTCAAATGGTGCAGGGGCAAGACCTCCTTGGAATGCTGGCAGCACTGGTGTGGGTCTGGCCACATAGACATTTCCTGAGGATGCTGGACTTGAAAGGGGGAATATACAATCAGGGAAAAAGCTCCTGCTAGGAAACATGGAAGAAGAATTTTGTCTCACTCTGAACAAGGACTGATGTGTCCTCTCATTTTCCACTGAAGAACAAAGGTGCAGGGACAGGAGAGTGATTTGACACAAGGAGCTTCATCCAGCTTAGGTGGAGAAAGACATCTCTGGCCTCTGCTGGGGCATGCTCTAGTCCATTGCTATTCAAAGTGTGGTCCATGGACCAACAGCATGGGCACGCCCTGAAGCTTGTTAGAAATGCAGCACCTAGGCTCCTCCCTAGATTTCCTAAATCAGAATGTGAATTAATAAGAGCCCCAGGGGAATTTATGTGAAAAGCAATGTTCAAGCAGCTTTAAAGTTCTTATAGTTACATAGCTTTTTTTTTCCCCAACAAAGATGAATTCATGCTTTATCCTACCACTCAGAGTTAAATACTGTTAATATTTTTGTAAATCTCTTCCCAAGTTTTTAAATACATTATTATGTTTTGTAACTGTTTTACACTTGACATATACCACAAGGATCGTCTTCAGTCATTCGATAGTGTTTACAAACATGAGGTTGGGAGCTACCTAGAAACCCAGCACAAGTTGGTACCACAATTGATCTGGTCAATCCCCTGTTGTTACACAGGTTTTTTCTTCTGTAAATAATGCTGCAGTGAATAATCTATATAAATTTTGGTGTTCATCTCTAATTTCTTTAGGCTAAATTCTAGAAGTACAGTTCCTATTTTAATTTTTATTTTCAAGATCTAGAACCAAGCTGAGAGACTGAAGTCCTAGACCACAAGAAGTTGTCCTCCCTCACCCTGTGGGGCACAAACAGGGCTTTTGGAAAGATACACACTTAACTAACTGGCTGAGAGTTCCTCTTGGTCCCTAGATGGATATTTCTATTTGAAAATTTTTCAAGCAGTGCCAGTATCCCTGAGCTCCGGGAGTCAAGAAACCTCACATAAATCACCAGCCTCTCTGGTCTTTGTAGGTGAGCAGAGGTGGTGAGGACAAATGAGAAGGCAGACAGTCTCTGTGTACCTAGATAGAGGTGTACAGCTGTGCTGCTGTATAAAGATCAATGAGGTCCAAAAGGAGAAGAACCTCTTTGCTTATTTTTCCATCAAAGCCTAGTGAAATTTTTCAGAAACTGGCTTGGAGCCTAGACATTAGACTGCCTCTTAGTTTGAGCAGTATATATATGGCTATGTAATAAAGGGAAAAACAAAAACCTCAAATGATATTTTTCAAAGGATTTTCTAAAGGTAATTATGGGAATATGGGAATAGAAAAGAGTTGTCATCAAATGGAAAAGCTTTTAAAGAACTAATTCTATGAGCAGTTTTAGTTAACAGCCTTAATATTTCAGTTTCATTTGCATTACAGCAAAAGGACAACATTCCTGCCACCCTTGGCTTCTTGCTCAGGTTGCTGTCATCTGCTTTTCCAGCTGTGGCTCCTGAGTTGTCTAGGAGTGGCTCAGGGAGCACACCATGACACCCTAGCAGACCACACAGTTCTGAACTGCTCAAAAAGAGGCTAAGGCCAGAAGCCTATCTCACGCTGGAATTTCAGTAAACAGTGGTCTGGCACCTGGGAGCATTTCTCTGACTTGATTTTCAACTAGCCACATTTAGGACCATAAAGGTCTAATTCCATTTGTGTTGCATTCATTATCTCCAGTTATGCCCAAACTTGATCAACCAGTGCTATCTGTGAGAAAATTCTTGACTTGGACTTAAAACAAGTATTTGAGGATGCGGTATAGTAAATTACATGGTATGGTATAGTCTTTGTAACTCCCACCAGATTAATGGGTCCAAACCAAACCAGACTCACTGCCTTGGAGTCAGATCTGACTCATACTTACCCCGCCCTTGGGTTTCTGAAACAGTATCACTAAGGAAGTAAATTGCCTGGGCTTCCTTCCAAGGAGTGGCTGGTGGGTTTGAACCACCAGCCTTCTGGTTAGCAGTCAAATGCCTTAGGCACTACACCACCAGAACTCCTAGATTACTGGGTAAGAACATGCAATATAAACTCCTGATTATTAAAGTTATCCACCTGGTATATTTCTGTTGGAGCAGCACAAGTAACTTTGGGAAGTTCACTCTCTCTCTCAGGTGTGTAGAATTCTGATGTTGGGATTGGTTAGTTTTGCCACTCTACCAGGCTTAAAATGAGCCCTCCTGGAGGGAGAAAAGATATCTCTGATTGCTGGCTGAGAGAGACACACTGCTGAGAGAGAGACAGAGAGACTGCTGGCTGAGAGATACTGCCAGCTGAGAGAGATTTCTGGCTAAGAGAGACTCAGCATGTTCCCGAACTTGAATTGTAGCCTGTTGCTTCCCTAATAAACCCCATAATCTGTGAGTTCTTTGTGGCCACTGCAGCGATTTATCAAACCCAGCAGAGAGGTGGTGGGTGCCAAGAGAGGGACGGTTGGTGTCAAGGTTAGTAAGAGGGCTGGAGGGTGGCGGCATGTCTGACCTCATAAGAGCAAGCTTTGAGTTGCTGATGGTGATTCTGTCTTCCTCCTGTGGAGTTAAAGTTAGAAGATGCCCCCTCCTTGCCTCTAGCAGTTTGTGTCTGGAGGGAGCAGTGGGATAGTTGCAGTGGCTCCAGACTCATCGAAGCATGGGAAGCATGGGACTTTGTAGAGAAAGAAGGAAGGGGCCTGGGAAGTGAAACTTTGGATTCTTAAATGGTTACTTTGGTGGGTGTTAATTATTAAAGAAGATAATTGATCCAAAGTCTAGGGCTATACCCAGCCAAAGGCCCAAGGCCATATACGTAGAATGGGAAGATAATTCAGGTGAAGACATGTAACTGGAATGTCTTAAAAAGGATTATGTGTTTTGGATTATGTATTTATCTGAATGTACTATGGGTATTGAATGTTCTCTCACCTACTTCTACATTAAAAATAATTATTGAGTATGGATAACAGAGAGTATGTAAGCCCACCTTCAGCCAATATTTGATTGGATATGTTAAAAGGGGAAATAGAATTTGCCCAGGAAAAAAAAAAAGGCTTTTGTGTCAAACCCTCTGTGTAGAGTATAGGGGGCTTAGGTAGAAAACCTGAGCCCCACCCAGAACTACTGAGAGAACAGAAGATCTGCATTTGAAGACAGGACCTACAAAGAAAAAAATGACTGGCTTTTTGAATTTCAAGCAAGCAGATAAGCTTTGGGTGCATCGAGGCAGGAAAGTAATGGCCCATGAGAGAAACCCCTTCCAGGACTGAAAGTTAAAGGAAGCCAGCGAGTAGTAGGTTTGTATGCACCTCGCTTGTGACCACCTGGGTCCACTTGAAGAGTAGAAATGTGAGAAGTGCAGCTGAAGAAACATTCTGAGTTTGGTACTCTATGACCTAGACCACAGAGGCTAGGGATGAGAGGAAGGGCTGGCTGGTCTGAAGTGCAAGGAGTTGTGTGGAACTAGTCCCTGAGGACTAAGGATGAGAGGGGGGGGGGTGCTGGCTGGTCTGAAGTAAAGGGAAGAGCCAAAACTTGGCAGGTAGTACCCATGACTTTGCTGTGATGGCTAGGGCTGAGCTTACTAGAACCTGACCAAATGAAGAGGAAAATGTTTGACACTGAGCTGGTACTGAGTTGCTGCAATTTGATGGCTTATGCTGGGCTGGACTTTGCTTATTTATGAATGCAGATGTCCAAAGTTCCAAGCAGAGCAGAAGATTCTTCAGAGAGGAAGAATCTTGTCTCCTCAGAGTACTGGTTTGATAGGGATGTGCAAATTAGAAATTAGCTATTTAAAATGGAGGGAGATAAAGGCATGAAGTGGCTGGCTTACATGCTTTTATGGGTGTGGTTATTTTAAAATTGATTGTGAAAGGGATGTTAATTTTTGAAGTATAAAA